TAGTTAAAGGCTATAGATGATAAGACCGTTAAAAAAATACTTGAGCAACTCATTCTATTTACTGGAAATCAACATTATCTGTAGGATGCGTACAAAGAGAGTTTCACTTGCTTGTTGCTAGCAGTGACCCTGGTGAAAGCTGGAAGTACACGTACATCAGCGTTCATCATGGTAAGTGAAGCAAAGATATCACATCAGATGGATAACGTACACAAATTCTGCCCTGCCCAATGATTACCATGCTGAGAGCTTGCACACATCAGTTATCGATAGAGGTTATGAAGCCTGTAGGAGAAGTCATAACACCCACAGTTAGTTTCTCCCCCATGCACACAGGGCAGAACAGCTACTTCTCCGTATGTTTACTACGGAAAGAAGAAAAAACCCATCACTTCACAGCTTGTATCTGGTTAACACCAAAGGAAAAAATAAACCACAAAACCAAACCACAAAAAGCCCACAACACTCCTTTACCTATTAAAAACAAGAAAATGAAACAAGAGAAGGTTAGTCAAATAAAAGCTATCTGCAAAATCCACCTATGTTAATTAGGAACAAGAAATCTCCATGGAAACCTAAGTCAGGCATACCTATATAGGCATTGTATGGTAGGCTTTCACATGGAAGCATCATGCACTGGTGACAAAGTCCTTCAGACATTCCTTAATGTACATTCAGCCAGGTCTCTTGGAGGCAAAAAATGATGCACCCTTTCATTTCCATAACAAGCAGTAGAATCTTTCTTACAATGTGACACTATGAACTCTGAATTGTAATCACTGTGCAAGCACCTGCTTCTTTTGTTTAACGTGTTCTGTACTTAACATCGCTAATATGTTTTGGCAATAGCAAGGTGCTAAACTGTAGTCAACTGATAGAAGTCAGTATTTGGATCACTGCCCCTTCTTGTGCAAACTATTTCTTTCTCTTCTGTCCTGAGCATTTCTAACACATAGGCTTATGGCCAGCTGTAAGCTGCTATGACTTTAAAGAGCAAGAAAAAAAATGAGGAAAACATTTTGCTGAAATTTCATGTTCTTCAGACAGATAATTCCAAGGTATTTCTGAACCTTCTAAATCTATAATTAAATTGTTTGCTTTTTAAAAAATTACTCAGGCATAGCACTTCTTAAATGCAGGTGTGAGACCAGGGTTGATCGATGACCATATATTGGTTTCTCAATTCTGAAAGCATTAGGAATGTCACCACCCCAGCAGAGTCTGGCCTGACCAGTTTCTCCATTTTGGAGGTACTGGGAAGACACCCATCACTAATGTTTTCCTGCTCTTCCCAGAACAATAAGGAATTATGACTGACCTTCACATCAGAGAGCTGGCACAAAGAAGGTTCTTTGCATTGTAAGTTTTGCCTTGAAATATATGGTTTTAGTCTTCTGGAAAGCAAGGTTTTAAATTGGAAATCCTGACAGATCTTTAACTGCAGCAATAACAACATCAGTGTAATTTCTCTTGAAAGAAATTGCTCTGTTTTCTACTCCAGTTTCCAGCTTAAAACCTTTCATTGCTGATGCTGTTGTCAATCTTATCCAGTGACCTATTTACCCAAAGCACAGAATTACAGAACAGAGTTTTATCACAAGTACAGAGGAGGCTTTGACACTAATAATACTTAAGACTTTGTGGGCTTGGATTGTTTTTAGGGCTTGGTCAGAAAGGCCACCTTTCTTTCATGTAAAAAGTCAACAAGCCACCGCAGAGGTTTTGCAAATGAATTTGTCATAGCAATTAAGGGAAAGAAGCTATATAAACATGATAAAAGGTGACTAACATCACCATGCACCGTTACATTAAGGAATAAGAAAGAGACCTTTAACATACTGCTCTGAACACTTAGGAAATAAAAAATACTGTCTGGATAGCTACATTCTTTGACTTTCAATGAATCAGTGCTGTCTGCAATGCACACCCGACCTTTGAGAGGGGAAAAAACCTCAAACTGAATGAAGTAACGTCCAATTACTTGTAATGGTAACTTGAATAGCTCTACCTACCAGTATGGAGATGGGCTGATATTAACAGAATGTAGAACCAGGCAGCCCCACAGTATGACTCCTCCCTCACCCCCCAACAAGTTTCGAAAAGGCAAGAACATGAAATCCATTGGATAGATGCTTCATGTAGCTACTCTGGTTAAAATGCATGGTCCATTCAACTTACTAGGATTCTTAAAGCCATTAGGGTCACAAAATCCACATCATTGTAAGAGCTGACCACTCAGTTACACTTGGATAATACTGTACAGGATGGGTAAAAGAAGCCTCCTTTTTGTGGGTTTTTTGGGGGTGGGGGGTGTTGTTGGTTTTTTAAACACAAATGCTACACTTCCTGAGCTTCCCCCAGCCCTTGCTAATATCATTAGTAGTTTGGAAGGGGTTTATTTTGTTAAAGTGAGTTGCAGTGGAATGAAATTCTTCCACTGCCTTGGCCCAGCTTTACTTAGTATTTTCAGAAAAAAAACAGGTACTGTATTCTGTGCGACCGCAGTACAGCAGTTTCCAATGCAACAGTGTGAGCAGCCAAATATCAGACACCAAATTTATTTTATAAAGATACAAAAAGCATCCATGAACATACAGCTTTTCTGTACACATTTGTTGCCATCAAGTAGATAAAGCATCCTAAACGTGCAATTATTACATATAATATCTTATGCCCATCTAATTTTCTATAACCATCCCAGCATACTTACTCAAATGTTCTTAGCTCTTAAAATCTATTTTTTAAAATAATACCAGTTTAGAAAGTAGCATTTGCCAGCAGATATTAGCATACTCAAGTCCTGTCGAATTCACAGGGCTTTTAATCATCATCTTGTTGTTTACAAATTTTACTGTCACTCATCATTGCAAATCATCAGCTGTACTTGTGGCTGAAGAAAACGCTAACTCAGAAGACAGAGATGAGTGCAAATGCATTAATCAGAGAGCATGATTTTTACTACCAGGAATGTTATGCTCTCAGACACCTATAATTAGACATATCCAGTATCTACAATCTTCTCAGTTACTCAACATATTATGGAGACTTCTAGGTGTGGGTGGGAATGGGGTAAATAACACCCATATAAAGCAAAAATACAGGTAATACAAAGTATTTTTAGAATTAGGCTACAGAAACACATTTCTGCTCCAAGTATCTCTGAAAAACACACAAATAGATTTCTGCAGAGTACACTGGCAGCTTAAATAGCGAGAGCTGGTGTGGGAACAGCATGAAATCCCTGGGCCTTCCCTAGTTTGTGGGAATGGAGGGAAGCTGAGGACAGGTCAGGTAATTAGTTGGGTTTTTGGGGTTTTTTTTCAGTTTTTCAATTTAGTAACCGTTACCTTTCAGGAAAGGGAAAAAAAATGGTTAGTCTGATATTTTCTGGACTATACAGTGTTTTTAGCACTCTCCAGAAAAAGGAACAGCAGGTGTGAGACTACATTCCCCTCTGATGGCTTCATGAATCTAAAGCACAAACCACAACTGCACATTTAATGATCTACATATAGATTATTTTCTGTATAAATTGTATACTTTTAATTTGGTAAAAATTAAGTAGCTGAGTTTCAACCAGATTTCAGAGCACCCCTAATGATCAAATCCTGGTATCATTATTCAATATCAAAACAACAACCACCACAAATTAGCCAACATTTTCATGATTATCAGAATGCAGAGGGTATCTGCAGTTGAAAAAATCTTTAAAGCCACTTCTAATATTCAGAAGGAAAAATGTTTTAGACATTAAGGGTTAAAACAGGAACACTGGCAACACTTGCTGGATGTTGAGTAATTTACAGAAACAAGCCTCTGAGTGAGGACAGCCAGCAAGATGCTGCTTTAGGTAGTATGTAAAAATAAAGTGAATGCCACCCATTGTCTATTTAGAGCTTAAAGCACTTGATCTAAAACTTTAAGCTCTGAATGCAACACACACAATCGAGCAGAAAATTAAGTAGTGGGTGGACAGAATCTTTTCTGCCTACCCTGAATAATAACCACGGTGCTTCTGCTGCAACTATCAGAGACTATCCCTTGGGCACTCCATTAGAAAGCACGTAGCAAAGTGTAGGCTCAAAGTCACAGACTGATGTTACAGATAGGCTGGAGAGACTTCACTCTCTTTCCACAAGGAAAATTGCTCTCTGCACAAAACAGCACAGAAAACTCAGAGCTTCAAGTCTCCTTGCATGAGGCCAACAGCACTGAGGAAAAGAAAACAAATGGCAGAACACTGCAAGCTCATCTCAAGCATCAGTGACTGAGTTCTTGTCCCTGTGGTTTAATGATTCAAGCTTGACTTAAAAGCAACTTGAGACAGTTCAAGACCCACGAAGTTAGTGGGTATGCAGCACTAAGGGGACAGGGAAATATAACCACACAAACCATCTACCTATCACAGACACTCCTGGCTAATTGCTTTATACCTTCCTGAAACGCAAATACAGATGCCAAGTAAAATATAATATATTTAATCCACTACCTTCAAAGCCATCCCTACTTAGGTAAGTTGTATTACAAGCACTTTGCTTTTTATAACATTCCTATGCTCAACTTCTAGGCTTTTCACCCACTCCAACTGCCTCATTTATCATTCCAGCTTTTTAACCCATCCCTTACCCTCATGCCCCAAGTATGGTTTCTCGCCTTTGATTTTCAAGACTTGTTGCCTTTCCCTATTTTTTCCTTAAATACATTCTCATTATCTCATATTTTCCTTTTAAGAGCTCTCATTAAGAACTTTAAAGACCAGTTTCAAAAGCCAGTTACCAAATCACATCAGAGCATTCCACTTTATATAAAAATGTTCTGTACCATCATCAAATACTACATCAGATTGTGATTATTCACAAGAACGCATGGAATATTGTTCTAAACATTTCTTTAAACTGAAATAATTATTCCCTTCCTTGGAGACGGAAGATTACAGTTTACTTACAAGAAAAGCCTCCTTACTATTCTATTTAAAGCGGAACCAGGAAAGTCAGGCCTACCTGTGCAAGCTGCCCCAAAGAGTAGAGGGTGAGTTTCTTCGGGTCTGTGTAGAGAACCTCTCCAAGCTCCTGATAAGGCTTCCCAAGGGGGGTGAAGTGTCCCTGAGTGAACTGCTTTTGCCTCCTATAGTAGCTTTCCCAGAACACTTGTTCTCTTGGAAGTTCACTGCTTTTGTAAATTGTTCTGCTTCTGGCCATGACCTTTCCTTCCTTCTGAGAAAAGCCAGGCAAAGCCTGAATGCACACAAAATCTTGAGGATTCAACACTTTAGTGGCTGCCAGCACCGTGGTTCTGCTGTTCTTCTTAGGTGGACCTGGTGCCACAGGTGCCTTGAGTTTGCTGCCCCTACCTGCATTTGCTACCGCAGGTGCCTCAACTCTGCGGTGCTTACGTGCCTCTAGTACTGGCATCGTCCCACAACGGGAACCTCGGTGTTTTTACTTCCTAAATTATTAAAAACTCTAGTTGCCCAGTCATGAAAACACTGCCCAAACTCTGAAGCAAGTCTTTTCAATTTTCTAAAGAGTAGCCCAGCAGAAGAATTTGATGCTAAGGCCTACACAAGGTCCCGTTCCCCTCAGCAGCCCCTCAAGGAGTAGAAAAAAATCCTGAGGGGTTGAGACACCTAAATCCTAACCAGTCACGTGGGAAACACCCAGAGCCAGAGCACCTCCCTCTGAAGAGCCTCGTTCAGCACAAGTTCCTTTACACCAGCACACCCCGCCCTGCCCGCAGCCCCCACGCCAAGGGCCTCCCAACCTCCGGGGACCAGCCACACCTCCCGCCAGCCCGCCCCGAGGCGCGGCCCCTCGCCTCAGCGCCGCCGCGCGACAC